TCTCTCTCTCTCTATCTATCTATCTATCTATCTATCTAGCTATCCATCTACCTATCTACCTATCATCTCTCTGGCAATCTCTCGATCTATCTACCTGCTTATCCAATCTCTCTCTCTCTCTCTCTCTCTCTCTCTCTCTCTCTCTCTCTCTCTCTCTCTCTCTCTCTCTCTCCATCGTGTCAAACTTGTAGCCACCACAGAAAAAAATTAGGCACATGCTTACTGAAAAGCACAAAACTAGTGAAGCATTTAGATAATGAAACCCAGAGAAGTGGGGAATAAGATTTTTTTTAACGAACAAACAGATAGACAAAAAAAAACTGGGGAAAGGTGAGAGGGGGTGGGCAGGAAAATGGCAATTGAAATGGGAAAGATCAAGGGAACTGATTCTTGTCTCGCTATATCATATTCCGACTTCACTTTCCATGCAGCCAACGTGAGGCTTGCTAATCTGCTAGCGAGGGCTTTGAGATTTGATGGGGAGCGGACTTTCGTCGATGGCCGGTTGAGATTAGCATGAAACTTTGATGGTTGCCTTAGAGGACAATCTGTTGATGTGGATCGTGCCTTCATGACCTGTCGACAGGCGACTCTTGTTTGGAGAGAATTTGAAAATTCGCAGGCAAAGAGAATTCCTCGACTTGTTACCTGTTTACACAGTGTTGTTGAATCCGTGGTGGGTTGGGTTTTTTTTCGTCTTGCAGCTGTTTGTTTATGTCTGTAATCGTGGACATTATTGCTGCTAACCGTTGTTTATTTAGTTAGTAAGTACCTTTATACACACACGCATGTACTCACTTACACTCATATACAAAGACACTCATACACACACTCGCGCACGCACTCACATTCATGCACTCGCACACACGCACACACACGCACACAAACACACACACACACACACACACACACACACATACACCCACACATAGATGCATGCACACACTCCCTCTCACACAAACTTATATATATATATATTTATATATGGAGAGAGATATCAAGAGAGAGATTAACCTACACACTCACAAACACACACACACACACACACACAAACACACACACACACACACACACACACACACACACACATACACATACACACACACACTTACACACTTACACAAACATACTAACAATCTATATCACTCAGAAATTTAAGATGGAGCTGAACATGAACGAAGCACTATAAAAAAGTACAGCCCACAAACACTCTTGCTTTGTGCTCAAACTTTCTTTTTCCAGAAAATATTGGTTTTATTGCCTGAACTCTCTTTCTTTCTTGAACATTTCTTTACATTTATATCTTTTTACTTTCGTGTTTTAGTTTTGATCTCACCCCAGTCACAAAGCTACCCCCCTTGAATTTCTGGAATTACTCCTGGACTAAATCTCATCTCTTTTCTCCTTGCAGGTGACAACTTAGTTACGGCAGAGGAACTTTTCCGGCCCCCCACGAGGAAGTAACTCTTGCCGCCTCATGGAAGGGGGAGTTGCTACGCCTGTCCCACATGAGTTGGCTCAATTATCTGCCCTTTGCAGGTCTGGGGTTCGGGAGAGGGAACTATATTGACATCGCTCTATCTTTTATTTTTTTATTTTTGTTTTTGTTTCTCTGTCCAAAGAACAGCTGATGGGACCTCTGGAATTTTTTCTGAGTTGATGATACTTTCGAGGTATGGATCTTTTTTCGTCTATGAATGTCTGAAAATAACATTGTCCATATTACTGTTTGGCCCCTTTGTTCTCACGACCAAGGCTTGAGATTGTTCCTCCCTGGAAAAGAAGAAACTGGACATTCTGACTCTTCTGGAAATACGTTTTGATTACACTTTCAAATTAACAATGTACAAATAAACTAGAACATGTCTGAGGTTCCGTTTACACATGTGAGTTTTGTCAAGTGTTTTTGAGTGTATGGCTCTTTTCGTCTATACAGACGGCCAATTTAGCTTAAGTTGGTCTCAAGGTTGTCTTCATGCAGACTATTTCATGGTTATTTCTTCCTATGTTTGAAGGGCAGATTCTGTCGCAGTGCTTGCATGTCAGTGAGGTGTTTTTGAGAATAACAACAACAACAAAATCATATTGTGTAGCATTGTGTTGGAATCGGGCGTATGTCAAAACAGCTAATTCGAAGGTTCCGATTGTTTCTTTAACCGTTGGTCAAATTTTACTGATTTATTTTTCTTTTTGACTTAAAACCTTTTATGTTCTTAGAAGCTGCAGTAGTTTGGTTGTCGCAGACTTAATTAAGGAGACTATTACAACTGGTTTACTAGGCTAATTTTGCGCTTTTCAACATATTGTAGAAGACGTTTCTAGGTGAAAATAGAATGGGTGGGGGAAAATGTGGGTGGGAGGGGTGCAGAATGTAGTAAAACAACTACTGCGAATTAAACTGTTTTTGACACTTGTGTCTGATCTTACATGTTTTGATTGCAATATCACATCTCCGTAAAATAACATTTAAGGAAGTGCTAACAAATATACAACGAGTGTTCACGTTTTACGCCACCATCAACGTTGGTCAAAACATTTAAAACACTTGCAGTCTGTGACTTCTCGGTGGGTAAGACTCGGCTGAATAGGAAGAACCTTCCCGAGAAACAGGCAGAGATATAGATGTATTTCCCCCAATTGGGAGTCGTTTAGTTTAGTTTTAGTAAGAGGTTTACGGCCCGTGTAACACAATAAGGTGATATAAGTATCGAAGATTAGAGGTGTTACAAGAGAGTAACAAACACAAAAAGAAGGAGGAGAGAATAGGAAGATAGATGTTTGATAGAAAAGAAGGAGCAAACCACACCAGAGCACCCGTCAACCACAACCACCCGCCTTGGGAGTTAAACATATTTTGTCGCTTGCATGCATAAGCAAAGAATGTTTGCCATTTCAAGAGCGTGCAAAATGTTATATTTTAATCACCACTTTGCAACACTGTAAGATTATGGTAAGGGCGAGACCTCAAAATGAAACGCCCATCGATAAGACAGAACGAAATGGAAAACATGAAATAAGACAGGATACTTCATTATTGTCCAGATCCTGGCACGTGGGTTTGCCGTTTCACCTCGTACACACACACACACACACACACACACACACACACACACACACACACACACACGCACGCACACACACACACTCACAAACATGCACATACACATTCAGGCTTACAGTCACATGCATAATACAGATGAACAGTAATATAAATAATAATAATAATATTAAGTTAGGTAAATACTCAGTTTTCTGATTGTAGTTCAAATTTTACTATGACGCATGCTTTAAGTCATAATTAATAATTATGAATACTTAAACATTGTGTAAAGTGTTGTCCCAGGGAAAGTCCCGCCTACGAAGCTCCAAACCCTCAATCTCACGATGACCACTGCGGTAGTATATACACTAGAAAGCTCTTACCATTGCAACATTATAAAAATATTTAACCGAGGCAGTCCAACTTTTTTTTTCTGAAAATGGGTCCATTGACAGAGACATAGAAATGCGAACTTGAAAAGCCAATGCTGTCACCTATCAGCTCGCACCCCTCCAATCTCATCCAAACTGCTCCATGGACACAAAGAGACAGCTTATCACCTCAATATTCATACCAGCATTAAGCTACCAGTGCCAAACCTGGACATTAAGAAAACCCATTAATGATTGCATGTTAAATGAAATGTCTCCTCAAAATTCTTAACATCACAAGACGAGACAGGCAGAGAAATGAAGAAGTAAGAGCAAATATTCCCACTGAGTCCTGCCTGCCCAACATAGAAAGACAGATGATAAAATGGGTTGCCCCCCCCCCCCCCCCCCCCACAAAAAAAAAGATAGAAAGAGACAGAGAGAGAGAGAGAGAGAGAGAGAGAGAGAGAGACAGTGCTAGAGAGGCAGAGACAGAGACCAAGAGACAGAAATATACTGAGAGTCGAACTCAAGTCCCCTAGAAGCCTCCCTGACCACCCACCACTCCCATCGTTCCGTGCAGTGTTGTACAGGTTTTGCGCACCAAGCACCACAATTTTTGATAGTTTTTCTTTCTAGTCATACTGCTTCGACTCTGCATGCCAGGGCCGATCCTGGTTGAGAAGGATACGACGATACCTCAAAAACATGGAGGTACATGATTTTTAGAAAATAAAATAAAACTACCTTCACTGGGGAATCAAACTGTGGGTGGTTTTGTTTGTTTGTTTTTGTTGTTTTGTTTTTGTTGTTGTTGTTGTTTGTTTTTTTGGGGGTTTTTTGGGAGGGGGACTAGTAAATCTTACTTCTTTACTTTCTCTGTTTTTTTCTGTCTGTCTGCCTGTCTTATTTTTCCCCAGCACTGAACGAACATTTTTGTGTCGATGTGCTTCTATTATTTTCTCAAACATACGAACAAATGATCTGCGTGCAGCGGCGAAGCGGCTAACCATTTCACCCTTCACTCGTGTAACATGCATGTAGTTTGTATTTGCACCTCGTCGCGACAAAGAAAGGGAGTATGTTTGTGAAAATGGGTGAAAATGGTGAAATGGTATGGGTTTAACGCCCCTATCAAAACTATTAGGGTATTTAAGGGGACCTCCTAGTTTACAACGTCCGTCTCCGATAGGACCGAGCTAGGTGGGAAATTCATGTAAAGTGCCTTTCCCCAAGGACACAACGTCGGACCGAGCTGAGGCTCGAACCCCCGGAGTATGTCTCTGTTGGTAGAAGTAAACTTGAGACCTACGTTCAGAACTGTACGTGACCTACTTAGCTATTACGTCCATGTGGGCTCCCCACTATATTGTATATATTATAATGGGTGGTTGGCGGGTGCTCTGGTGTGGTCTGTTCCTTCTTTTCAATGAAACATAAAATATCGTCCTTATCTCCCCTTCTTCTTTTTTATGTTTGTTACTCTCTTGTA